TTATCACAATGTATAATATTAATAAATTGGTAATAATTATTTATTTTAAGTTATAAAAGTAGAGAAAGTAATTAAATTAGTTATTTAAAATGTTACACTTTAAAGTAATTAAATTAGTTATTTAAAATGTTACACTTTATTCTCTTTTAAGTTTAATGCAAAAATACTCAAAATGGCCGAAAAAAATTGTTCACCGACGAAACTTGGTGTTACGTCCTTTAGTATGTTTGATAATTCGAATTAGATAAGTCCAAATATAATAATTGAACGGTGAGAATTGAAACAATGACAAGTATGAGCATTCAAACAAACGAGATAATATATAACACGGGAAGACTTGACAGACGAATATAATGCAAATTGAGTTAGGAGGAGATAGAAAAATCACACGAATAAAAAATAGTTCCACTACAAGAAATTTGTCGAGTTGACAAGCAACATTAAACATAACAGTTGACAATTTTTATCGTATATTTATCTTTTTTTTTTTTTAATTATGTACGTGTTATATTAAAAATAATGTACCGATTATATAATTTACCAAATGAGCAAAGTTTGCTTTCATTTTCAGAAAATAACACGTTGCTTATATGATAAAAAGTCTCACCCACATGCTATACTCAAAATTGTATAAATTCCATTTAATTGAGCATGTGAATATGTACTTTCTTTAGGGGGAAGAACTTTTTGTTTTAAAATAAATATTAATTATTATTACCTTATTATTTGAAAATCATTTACTCTTCTAAAATAAATAAATTTGTATATATCACTTAATTCATTAATTATTAATCTATTTTGACCTCTTGACTTTTTTTTTCTTATTTAATATAACTTTCATTTATAACGTTTTTTTTCAATTCATGGTTCAATCTTCCTCGTATTTGTTACTTATATTATACATGGGTTCTTTCTAATACCTTCTTTTATCGAAGCTTACATCTACTATCGATCCTATCAAAATGGCCCGGAACTAAATTTTGTTGCTCTAATAATCATGTCGAAGATGTTGAAGTGCATTATTAAAACACTAACTTACCTAAAGAAGTGTGTTTTCTGATCTCGTGTTCGACCTCTACTAGTAAAGAGGCCATAACTTATATTATACATGGGTTCTTTCTAATACCTTCTTTTATCGAAGCTTACATCTACTATCGATCATATCAAAATGGCCCGGAACTAAATTTTGTTGCTCTAATAATCATGTCGAAGATGTTGAAGTGCATTATTAAAACACTAACTTACCAAAAGAAGCGTGTTTTCTGATCTCGTGTTCGACCTCTACTAGTAAAGAGGCCATAACTTTGCAATGAGCTTGATTAATTGAAAGTGTCTTTTTTTCGTAGTAAAATTTCCTTCATTTTTTTCCTAAATTATCCCTGTTT